AATTAATCATTTTCATAAATTCTGTGTTCTTTAATTTTATTTGACCAACTGAATTTGTTATTTAAATGGGGATAGGGTTGTTGATGAGTAGGTGTGCCACCAACAAAATAGCAACCCAGGACTCAAAACCTTGAATTCAGGGAAATTCCAAAACAGTAACCCAGGTTGCAACTTCTTGAGTTAAAGAATTTTGAATCAGTTGCAGACACCAACTTTATTCTAGTGAGAGAGGTATGACACAAATGCTGTTTCTCATTAGTGATCAATACAGTCAAGCTTGGTCTGAAGGGAAGATAAAGAGGAGTTTCATCCAAAGCCTTTTAATATGTACTGTATAGAGCCTCGCCTGTGGAAAAAGATTCTTAGATATTAGGCATGTGAAAGCACCTTTAATGCATGTTGGCTTAATTAGATCTGACATCTGTGATCAATATTATATTTATTATCTATTCTTGTGAGCCCCAGAGATCTGGGTAGACACACATTATTAAAAGTTTCATTTTTGCATGGATTTGTTATTATTTATTACCTGATTAATGCAATTATTTATTATGTCAATGATAATATCAGACAATTTAACAACTGTCATGACCATCATGAATATTTAGTATATGGAGGCATTCACATGCAAGGAAAGGATTAAATAGCTAAGTTATGTTAATTTGTTTTGTTTTATTAAAGCTATACAATTAATTATATTTAAACTATATAGCAATTGTATCAAAAAAAGTAATTTAAATAATTTTTTTGAATATATATAATAATAACAATAATAATGGTGAAAATGACCATTTTATTATTGTGAATTGTTGTTCTTAATAGGCAATGATTTGGCAGTGGTTTATTCCAGCCAAGCATACTCCTTAGCCATCAATTGATCAACCATAAATGCCTCTTTTGAAAGAGAGCTAATTTTGAGATCCTCCCATATTATCTTGTTAAAGAAATAAGACCTATATTTTATAAAATGAATTAAATAAAACGCATAAAATGAATAATTCAAATAAAATTAATAAAATGATAAATTTTTTAATTCAAATTAAATATTATGAATAATTCTAATAAGAAATTGTGTTAAGAATATTAACCCTAGCCTGCAGGATTCCTTCCATTTCCTTCACCCATTGACAAGGTTTGTAAACGTTCAATGTTTAAAAGTGAAATAAGTAATTTAATTATTGTAAAATTACAAAGTTATCTTTTATTCACTTAAATTCATGTCCTTTTTATAAGAAT